CAAGTTCTGTTTGGCATCCGGTCGCAAATGAATCATTGTCGTTCGTACTGCATAGGGTTCTGGACCATCCTTGCCTCCTTCCGTGACGGTCACGCGTGGCATAGATTCTGTATCCAATCCGACATACTTTGCAGTCAGGAGATGAAGTGCGTTTTGAATCTATTCGTTTGGGCCATGTCACTATTGCTTCCTTTTCTTTGGGTCGGGGGACGTGCCATGGAATTTCAGTGGTCGGAGCCGCTCGTCTCTTGCACGCATTGGAAGTGTCTAGTTCCAATTCTGGACTCTATGTTCGTTCACTGGATGGCTCTCGTAGTTTGCAATTGGCAGTAACCGTCAGGGCTGGAGACACTCATTTCCAAGGATGCCTGTCAATCATGTAGACGGGTCGCTACCAGTGCATGTTTGCATTCGTTGGAATTTAAAGAAGCATTTCTCAAATAAACTAGCCTACATTTTCTCTCTTGCACTAGTTCTTAATACCCTGTTCTTCTCGTCATGAGTCTTTACTACTCCTGTAACCCCTTCAGCGTTTGGGCCATCTTTACGATCTTAGCTGGATCAACACCGAGAGGATTGAATCCACTGATTCGTTTTCCATTTTCAAGAACAACGACCTTTGCAAAAGGATGATCCGGAGTATGAGCAAGGTCAATATCCATCCAGTCCCATACCAAGACTTCGGTTCGAAAAACTCCTTTGACCAATATCAATTGATGACTTGTGATGCAACCCTGTCCTCCGAATTTGGTTTGAAAATTTAGAATGGGGATGGGACCCCGACGAATGTTACTGGTTTTCGATTGTAGTGTCAGTTCGTACCAGTGGTTCGACAATTGCTTTACTCTCGGTATATGTGGATGGGAATGTGGAAGAAGGATGATCTTTTCCAACAGTAATTTCACTCGAGCTTGCTGTTGAGTCACCTTTATCATGTTCCTTCGGGACAGCTTTTTCAAGAATTGGGATTGATCTTGATCATCAGCTTTACCAAAGGCTACAAAAACACGATGCGTTGCATCGATTGACATTTGCAAAGACTCTTTTGGGCGAAAGGCTTCCAAGCAGTTGGCTGCCACTTGATGCGCCACCTTGTCCAGAGCTCTACGCACCTCATCGTCCCAAGGAAACTCTTCCATTTTTCGCTTCTTCATATGAATGGGAGCCTGTCCCATGTCCAACGAATGATCTGGATTGAATTTGTTCTTGTCTTTGTGCTTGCTGTTGTTGAGTCGAATGAGATAGTCATTCAGCATAACCTGCTTGAGATAGGCTTCAAAGTCGGCGTACTCCATAAGAGCTTCATGCAATATGGTCTCTGCTTTTTCCATTTGCTGAGCCAAATCTGCAAGCATATTGTGCTGTGATATCTGAGCTAGGTGAAAGCAGAAATCTCGATCCAAATTGGGTTGACAAGGCCTCATTCCAAATCTTGAGGAAGATTCCGTGATGAGAGTGTTATGAGTGGCTTTAACCATTTCCAATTCCGACCAAATACGTTCCATCAAGGAGTGAGATTCTTGTAGTACCTGTTTATCCTTGGTCGATAAAGAAGGAAACAAGTTTCGCACATCCTTGTAAAAGACGGACAGCACGGATTTCGAAGTGAAACTTTGACCATGTTTGGATTGTAATATTCGTGAGGTTTCTTCCTGGGTTGGTCCTGGAGCTTGGTGTGAAGGTAGAAATCCATGTCGTTGGACAAGCTTGACCAAAGCCGAAGCCTCTGATATGAGTTCGTTCAATCTTGTATGCTGACTCTTGAGTGGCGACATTGGCTGATCCTCTCGGCTGTTGATAACGATATTCTTTATCTTCTTCTTTTCTTCTGCTCGTCCCTTATTTAGATCCAATTCAATTTCCAAATCATCATCAAGCTGACTCTCCGTCAGATACTCGCCCAGCTGTTCTGCATGATAAAATCGCAACAAAAGATGACGTTCCAAACTCGTTTTGTGCGTAACTACATTCGCCACCAATACCAAAGAAACGGTTCCATGACCGCCCAATGCTTGGAACTCATGCATGGTACTCTTAATGATATGATAATATGTTGGGTGCAACGCCATGAAGGCCTGGTGCACTGCTTGCAGAATCAAGTTCTGTTTGGCATCCGGTCGCAAATGAATCATTGTCGTTCGTACTGCATAGGGTTCTGGACCATCCTTGCCTCCTTCCGTGACGGTCACGCGTGGCATAGATTCTGTATCCAATCCGACATACATGTTTTGCAATTCGGCGTGGGTGCGAAAGGGTTGGCAATAGTCCTTGACCACATTTTCCAGCTTTGGAAAACTCTTGAATTCGTTTCGAAAATTCGTGTGATTGAAGGGTACAAAGTAGTTGGTCCAATCGCAGTACCAGTACTGATGATCATCTGTATTTTCTGTCTTTAAGTACAAGTTCCGACAATGGTCTGCGAACAAGTAGGGAGGAGATTCTGGAGATTCATGCTGTGCTGACTCGGCACCACCACATGACACGGCGGAGTCACCTGAAGAAGCGGAGGAGGAATCAGTTGTGGAAAGATATGCTGCCGACGATCTTTTCACTACGTCGCACTGGGCTAGTATCGCCGAAATCCGAGAGCGAGAGTATGTCTCCTGCAAAGGTGAGGACGATGATGATTCCTCAACTCGATGATTCTCGTCTGCGTAGACGTCGTCCAATCGTGGGCTCATTTTTTGTTTTTCTTTCTTGTTGACCTTTTAGCTTTACCGCACGCTGCTTCGTATCAGACTGCAGTGAAGAAAATAGCTCTGTGGGAGTGGGATGCTGCTGTCGTGATGAATCCAACGTCTTGGTGGTTCGATAATCGGTGCAAACGAAGAAACATCCATCCGGCGTCATCTTCCCGCACGTCTCCGAGTTCCGAGTGAGTGAGTCAGTCGTTTAATTGGTCTGCGAGTGAGTCATGCGGGATTCACTGTCGACGAAAGTTACAGGAACGCACCACGCACCACAACGTGCAGCGCACGCAATTTAAATGTCCGTTAATAGTTTAAAATGGTTTTATTGGAAAACGTTAAGTGTCCGTTTCCATTTTAGCGCGGGCGCACTGTGGAAATCGGGCATGCCCCGTGCATCAATTTGACGCAAAAACGGGCACGCCCCGCGTCAAATTAACGCAAATCTGCGTCAAATTGACGCAAATGTTTGCGTCAAATTGACGCGCGACGCACAAAACTGAGTCAAATTTGACGCAAGTTGCGTCAATCCCGCGTCAAACTCAAGAAATTGCGTCAATCCCGCGTCAAACAGATGCAGTTGCGTCAATCCCGCGTCAAACTCAAGGGAGGCCAGAAACACAATGTTATAAGAGCACAGTTCAGGTTCTGACATCAGCTACTTCATTATGCTATGGGCTACAGTTCTGGATTCGTTTATCAGGAGTACTTGGCTTCATATCCCAAAATTTCACAGTTCCAAGCTCTAAACCAATTTGGATTGTTGATTCCAGGACAGCACCTAGTACCGCAAGTGTATGCTTATCATAGTTATGGATCCAAATACCTTGCAATGATTGGAACTTTTTCATCTTGCAAAAGACACATACTACCTCGTTTTTTGGTGTTCAACAAGAATGCTGGATGCAATAAGTCCCTAAACAATTGAGACAAGGAGAGCAGAAAGATCCTGAAAGGAATAGGAGACATTGCCAGATCCCTGGCCAAGTATGCCTATGGAAGAAAGGTCAGTTCCAATATTGCCAACAAATCCATTCTCAAATATGTTTTCTACAAGATTTTTGAGCAGTACTATATCTGGGGGATTCCGTTGATGAGCAAGACAGGGATATCTGTTGATAAGGTTGTTGCTTCTTGCTTGGAAAATAGCATCATTGCCATTATGTGTCCCAGCTTTGTCAATTTCCATCAGATCCATTGTTCAAAAAATGGGCAACTCTCATTGGAATGAGAGTGGGAACTCAAACTCTCATTCATTCACACACTCCAATCTTTTTGGAACTGATACCAGTACGCGGGTTTTGTCCCGCGTCGAAGACACGCAGGCCCGCGTTAAATTGACACAACCCGCGTCAGTTGACGCGGAATCGGCGTTAAACTGACGCAACTCTGCGTCAAACTGACGCAACTCCGCGTCAAACTAACGCAACTCGCGTCATTCCCGCGTCAAAAGAAACGTCCCGCGTCAAAGTCGCAGAGCATTTTAACGGACACATAAAAATTATTTAGAGCTAAAAACAATCTAAACGGACAGATTTTGGGCGTGTGTTTGACGTTGTGGTGCGTCCCAGAGAGTGTCCGTCATTCGTACGTTAGATAGTTTAACCTAGAGATTCGCACACATCTTGTAAAAATCCCCATGTTTGTCATCGTACTCGTTTTCGTCCCGAATCTCTCGTACCTCGCTACTCAATTTAACGGTTTATCAGACCCAAGCAATCCACAATGGATAGAGAAGCCTGAGAAGTCTTTCGAATAATATCTGTTTGAGGAAATCGCCTCATTCAGCCATGGCTAGGATCACCATCGTCGTATCGATCTCGTGATTTTTTCATGCCACAATTTCGGCGTTCGGATGCGCACCGAAGGCTAATCACGTCGCAGCGTTAACTAAATTGTTCGCTAGCGAAGGCTAAACGGCAGACGTGCCATGCGTGCAACCATCCGTGCCACGTTTATATACAGCTCTCAATATGAGATGCTTCGACATTTAGGGCTAAATTATTTGAAGTTACCAGATATCACCAACGTTCGCCTTCTGGCGATTCTCTCCGGTGATTTCTGACTTCAAGTCCGACACTTTTTCGAACTGAAACCAAACAACACATCAAAAACATCAAAAATCGTTCACACATCATCGCATCACAATGGCTGCTGTTATTCAATTTCGTAACTGGTGCGAAGTCGATCTCCTAATTTGACCAATCCTCACGCAAGACATGACCGACGTTGAAGGTCTTGACTCTGTTGACTCCTTTGCCAACAGAACAACTTCTCAAGTTCGCGAAGACATCAAATCCATGCGAAGAGCCCCTGATCCCAACAATGCAAATGCGACTATCGGAGTCACCGCTCGCGAATCGATGACGATTCATCGTATCTCCAAATACGGGAAGCTCCTCATTTTGGTTCAAAGAACCCACACTCCAGCTCTTGGAACCATTCCAAATCTTCTTTTTATTGGTCAATTCTATGATGAAAATCCGGATCTCATGGAAGGGGACTCCTACCCACTTC